CCCCAAAACCCCAAAACCCCAAAACCCCAAAACCCCAAGTTACAGCATAAAATGTATATTGGCTGAATTAAATTAATAACTTAATTTTATAAAAAAGGGAGATAACTACTTCAAAGCTAATCAACAAGAGTTTACCGAATTGAAAATGCATAGTAATTTCTTGGAATAATCATAATTAAAGAGTATAGACTAATAAGTAAAAAAGGTGAGGGCGCCTTCTCAGAAGTGCTTAAGGCTCAAAGTATCAAGACCGGCAAATATGTTGCAATAAAATGCATGAAAAATCATTTCGATTCAATAGATCAGGTAAGTCTTTTGATTGGATTAAAATGGTCAGTTAAAATATGACTATTGATTTTTATGCTAAATTAATATTTGCATAGGTTAACAACCTGAGAGAAATCCAAGCTCTAAGGAGATTGTCACCTCATCCATAGATCATTAAGTTATATGAAGTGCTTTAGTAAAATAATTATTGCTTTACATAAATTTGAATAGTGATGAACCAACAGGGAGACTTGCGTTAGTTTTTGAGCTAATGGAAATGAATCTTTATGACGCAATCAAGGGTATTTATCAATAATTATAAATTATTAGGAAGACGACATTACTTACCTGAAAATAGAATCAAATACTATATGTATTAACTAGTTAAGTCGATAGATCACATGCACAGAAATGGTATTTTCCATAGAGACATCAAGCCGTAAGAATATTATTATTAAATTATTTCTAGCGAGAATATATTGCTCTCTGAGGATAATGTTAAACTAGCTGATTTCGGATCCTGCAGGGGTATTTATTCAAAACAACCATATACTGAGTACATTTCGACAAGATGGTATAGAGCCCCAGAATGTCTATTGACAGATGGTTATTACGGTTACAAAATGGATATGTGGGGCCTTGGCTGTGTATTATTTGAAATACTTTCCTTATTCCCATTATTTCCTGGAAATGATGAGCACGACTAAGTTATTAGAATACATAATATTATGGGATCTCCGTAAAAAGATTTATTAGAAAAATTTCAAAAGTATGCCACTCATATGGAATTTAATTTTCCACACGTTCCTGAAGGAACGGGGATACCTAAATTAATCCCACATGTGAGTCCAGAGGCTTAAGATTTAATATTGAAACTTCTTGTCTACAATCCTGATAATAGAATAACAGCAAGCTAAGCCTTAAAGCATCCTTGGTTCAAGGAACTAAGGGAATAAGAGAAAATGCTAAAGCAATAATATGCTGGATCATTGTAACAATTTTCTGAATTAATATTTACATAGAACATAATCAAGTGTTAGAGCGACCGGGGCAAATTTAGGAGATTCCTTATCTTAATACAGTAAGCACAGTGATGATCTCTCAGGAAATAAAGCATTAATGGATGAATAGGGAAAGAAAACTAAAACTGAAAAGTTCTTAAGCACCTAAAAGAAACTACCTGAGCTGAAGATTAGTTAAAATGAAATGGCTAATGTTAAAAATATTACATTTTCTTCTGACTCAGAAGATCCAAATCTTGTAAATTTATATATCTTATAACTTTAATCAGAAAAAATTGCCATTAATAAAAGATGGATAAATAAATACTCAAATACAGGAGGCTTATAATGGGAAAGTAGGAGGCAAGAGTATCAAGAATAGTTCATTAAATTAAAGTAAATATGTTTCTAATATGAACTAATCTCCTTCTCCCTCTTAAACTTTTTTCAAAGGTAACAGCTCTAGCCAAGTCTTAACAACTCTAAATATAGATGCAGATAAAAAGTAAAATTCCTCCTTCTTAGGTAAAAAAGTGATGCCTGGCTATAAAAATCAGAAGAAGCTATTTGTTAGCCCTTATAATCATAAAGCGAACAAGCAATGAGGGTACTGTTTATGATTAGTATATATATTTAAAGGCCTCCGCCTAAACAAAATATAAACACTAATATGATAAATTTAATCGTATTAATTTGTTGATTAAACATGCATTCAACCACACCTATAAAATAAATGGACTGAAGGGGTTTTGGGGTTTTGGGGTTTTGGGG